TTTGAGACAGGGTCTCACTAGGTAGTCTTGGCTGCCTAGGGTTTGATTTGTAAACCAGGATGGTCTTGAACTCACGTAGCTCCACCTGCCTCTGCCTCCTGAGCTCTGGTATTAAAGGCATATACCACTTTTTTTTTTTTAAAAGAGTTTTATCTTAAAATAGGTAAAATAAGCTACTGAAGACACTGGGTAAATGTTGGTGCCTTGGCATGGTCATGGTGGGCCCTACAGGGGCCCTGAACCTTGCTGGCAGCTGCTGAGGCAATGGGAGGAGTCGGGGATAAATTAAAGCAGGAATCTTATGTAGATGGTTCTGGGCTGTGTCTGATATTCTGGACTGGAAGCTGGTACAGAATTGCTCCGATGGGATGTGGGCAGGATGGGCAGCAGGCTTTGCTGGGCAGGGTATGGCGATCCAGAAGCTGGAGAAAAGTCTATACCTTGATCACAGGTTAGTGAAGCAATATCAGGGCCCATGGCTCCTTCCATCTAGACCAACAGTTCTCAATCTATGGGTGGCGATTTCTTTGAGAGTGAAACAGTCCTTTCACAGGGGACACATATCAGATATCTTGGATGTCAGAATTTATATTACAATTCATAACAGTAGCAAAATTGCAGTTATGCAGTAGCAAGGAAATAATTTTATGGTTGGGAGTCACCACCACATGAGGAACTGTATTAAAGGGCCACTGCATTAGAAAGGTTGAGAACCACTGGTCTAGACCAAGGCCTGAGGAATCCTTGCCAGGTGGCAAGTCCACCATTCAAGATAGCTCCCTAACCCAAGACCATCTGGGTACTTGAATGCCATCAGCCATTTTGCTCAGCTGCTTTTATAAAATGCTGGTGTTTCTAGCCAACAGTATAAACAGAATAAACTTGAATCCATTTAGGGGCCAGCCTAGGTGGCTCCCAGACCCTAGGCATGGGTGATGGACAGACAACTGGGAGGAGTTACAGCTAGTTGTGTAGCAACAGAGAGCTCACACTCAAGGCTTCCATTCCCAGGAGGGAAGGGCAGCAGGCAGCTGCCCAGGGCTAAGCTGGGTTCTAGTGCTCCAGGGAGCCCAACCAGGGTTTGTGGGTTCTTCCTTGGTGAGCTGGTACCCTACCTCTGTGTGAAAGTACAAATACCTCACTGAGACCTGTGTGTTCTCTTTCCTTCCCCACCCCTCTCCTCCCCTCCCCTCTCCTTCCCTCTCCCTCCTCTCCCCTCCTCCTGTTCCCTGAACCCCTGCGTTTCCTGGATGAAGTTTGTGTCATCCCTGGGATGACCCTGGGTTGTGGCCTCTGCTCCACCATCTATTCTTAGCTCATGGTTTACACTTACTGCAGCCATCATGGGTCTCACACACACATATGAAACTCTAGGTTTAGAGTTACACACCAATCTCTTCTTAAAGGAGCAAAGGAATAGCATGTCCAATGCGTGGAGTCCCTGTCTGAGGACACCGAGCAATGGCAGATGCCTCTGTGACCAGTGCTGGTCCTCAGCAAGCACAGTCAGGACCACATCCTCAGCTCTGGCATGAGAGGAGATGAGAGAGAGTAGATGTGGCCCCACCCCAACACCAAGGCCCCGAGCTCTAGGCTTGAAGGCTGAGGGGCTACTGTAGCAGCTGGCCATATACAACCTGCTCACTGGGGGTGTGCTTTTCCTCTAGGTGAGTGAGAAAATGTAGCGGAGTGGCACCTGCCAAGAGCTTGGCGTGGATACCCTGGCCCAGACGGAGCAGCTGCCCCTGGGCGTCTTTCTGGCCATCCAGCCTCACCATGTCAAAGAAGGGCGCAGGCAGCCGGGCCAAGGGGGACAAAGCAGAGGCACTCGCCGCATTGCAGGCTGCCAACGAGGAGCTGCGAGCCAAGCTCACGGATATCCAGATTGAGCTGCAGCAGGAGAAGAGCAAGGTGGGCGCTTAAGCCTCTGCCCCAGGTCCCCTGCCCTGAGCTCCTGCCCCAGGTCCCCTGCCCTGAGCTCCTGCCCCAGCTCCCCTGCCCTGAGCTCCTGCCCCAGCTCCCCTACCCTGAGCTCCTGCCCCAAGCTCCTGCCCCAGCTCCCCTGCCCCGTGAGCTCCTGCCCCTGGAACCAAATGGTCTTATATAAAGAAGGATGTGGCCAGGTCTCTACAGAGGTACCCGCTCCTTTATCCTGGTGGATATCTTTGGGGAAGAGAATGGCAAGTGGAGAGAGTTGGGAGTCCAAAATCCAGTGGGAGTGCATGCAGGGACCCCTAACCAATGGGACATCCCTCCCACAGAGGGCGTATGCTGTGGGTCTTCCAGGGCCTTGTCAAATGGCATAGTCCTGGCTGGGGCCAACACTGAGCTTCCCCTGAAGAATTCGTAACAGAATAAGCTGGTGTGAGTACACATAAACTCAGGATTCGACAACTGCTTTGTGAAGCCAGCCATGAACCAACACTGGCTGTGCATTGAGAAATAAACTACCCTCTGTGTGCATGCAGGAAGAGATGGGCCAGAAACAGAGAGCCTCTTACTTACTATGGCTGAACCACACTTGTGACCATACTTGTAGCCCCAAACATTTCGCTTGCCCTCCTCCAAAGCATTTTGCAGCTAGGAGAAATGACTTGTTAGGGACCCAGCAGGTGCACTGCCTTCTGTTCTCCTGTGACAACAAGGGTCTTTTCATATGAAGAATTGGGGGCCATGGAGATCACCAAGCAGAGCGGTTCTGTCACATCCTCAGACACTCTGTCACCAACCCCACTGCAGCAGCACCACGTGTGTTTTATGTGCAGCTTGTCAAAACACATCCCTCTCATGACATCCTGAGGATACCTTCACCTGCTCGTAGCATTTCCGCTGCTTCTTCCAAGTTCCAGCAGCCCTGTCACTCATCTGGAACCATGTGCACAAGGCATCTAGCAGGACAGGTATTTGCAAGAGTGACAGCAACAACAAGGTACCCCTGGGCCTGTGTGGACACAGAGCCCACTGCAAGGACAGGAAGCTGCAGGAAGAGACCCTAGAGGCCAGGTGTGCTTAGAGCTCCCAAGTGCCGATTAGTGGGAAGACATGGGCACGGCACACCACAGGGTGTGCATCCCTGGCACCTCGCCTGAGACCTCCTTCCCCAGGTGTCACCTGCGCTTTGTCCCTTCCCTTTCCAACCCAGTCAGTAAACGAAGACACACATCAGAAGCAGCCTTCAAGTCTCCCACCAACTGTCGCTTCTCTCGGCAACTAGAAATCAGACTGAAGGAAACTATCAGGCATGCCTGTGGCTCGCATGGCCCCACCCACTTACCACTCACCGGAGGAATATTTGCTCAATGAAGTCATTGTATGAGTTATTTTCCTTGTGGCTGTCACAAAATAGCAGACAAAATCAGCATATTTTGGCTCCCCGCTTAAAGGTACCGTCCATCACGGTGGCGAAGGTGGCGTGGCAGGAACAGCTGTCTCCACTGCATCCACAGTCAGGAAGCGGAGAGATGAATGCTGGTTCACAACTTGCCAGGACCCCAGCACACAAAATGGTGCCAACCAATTTTAGGATGGATCTTCTGACCCTAACTAATTCAATCTAGAAACTCCTTCCCAGGCATGCACGAAGGTTGTTCTCTTAGGCAAGTCTAGATCCTGCCAAGTTGATAATATTAATATCCCAGTCAGGGCCAGCTAGGAAGTAAAGGATGAAGTTGAACATCACGGTCACTAGCAATGTTAGTTCTCTGGAGTTTATCCTCCATAGGCGTCAAAACTAAGATCTTAATTCCCACTAACTGTAGAGCTGGTATCTCTGTCTAGTTTTCAAGAGATTCCAGATTCTTCTGAAGCTTCTGGTGGATAAGGAGCACCAATAGATGGCCAGAGAGACCCTTCCTAGGTAGGTAGCTCTCCCTAGACCTCCAAACATGTCTGGAAGAGACCTGTAGCCCCTTGAGCCCCATGGAATGCCACTGGGCTGGTGGTCCCCATACTTGACCGGTGTTCAGAACAGCTAGACCTGTGCTGTGGGTAGGGACACAGGCAGGACACTCCAAGGAGTACCACTGCCCGGGCAGAGCCTGAGCTGTCACAACCCCAAGGGAAGACCCAGATTCAGGCCCACGGAAAAAAAGGGCACAGATATAGATTCCATGAAATCGCTTCCACTGGGTAATGCGATCTCAGTTTGGACCTAGCTACCCAAATGTCTCAGCTGTGATCCTGGCCTAACCACTGCAGGCTCCTTTCTCCGTCTGAGAATTCTTTGTGCACTGATGCTCCGAAGCAGCAATTTCTTACTCTGCAAGGTCCAGGGTCAGGTGTGGACGGAAGCCAACAACTGCAGCCGCTAAAAGCTAAGCACCTCAGACTTCACCGACAGCTGACTTCTTGAAGAGCATTGAGTGTATTAAGGCTTGTCAGTGAAGAACAGGAGGGCACCAAATCCAACAGGACTTTCCCCGGGCTCACAGAGCGGAGGCTGGGTAGTTCAATGATGGCTGTCGGCTGTTTGCTGTCTGCACACTGGGGAGGTTGAGAACCTGTACGGGCTATGAAGCCGGGTCCCTCTCTCAGCAGTCCTAATGCTGGGCTGAAGGCCCGGAAGTTCCTCGGGTGTCATTCAGTCTGTGTAGGAAGGTTGAAGAAGCTGGACACGGAGCTCAGTAGAGAATGGCAGTAGCAGGGGAGACACACTCACTCAGAAACTCAGAAGTGAAGGCAGGCGGGCAACACTGCTTTGCCTCAGACCTCTTTGTATTCAGGCTGTGTGGTGGTTTGACTAAGAATGACCCCCATAGGCTCGTAGATCTGAATGCTTGGTCACGGGGGGTGGGGTGGGG